AAGAGATCCGATATCAGACTAACCAGATTTCCATGAAGAGAAAGCAGTGAAGAAACGTTACTGAAGAAATTATATAAGAAAATTTCTAGAATGGAAGAACATGAGTCTATAGATTGAAAGGGCTCGTCAAGAACTGGCAAAACAAATGAAAAGATAAAATATAGCAATGTGCACCAACATGATATTTTAGAACATCATGGATGACGAGTGTATCCTAAAAGCTTCTGGAGTGGAGGAAAAAATTGGTTCAGAAGTCAGGATGTCCTCTGACTTCTCAATAGCTGCACTGGAAGTAACAAGACAATGAGAAATTCCTTCAAAATAAAAGAGAAAATTATTTTTAACCCTGCCTTCTACATCTACCCAAGCTATCAAACAAATGTGAAAATGAAGACAGTTTCACATATGCCAGGCCTCAAAATTTTACTTCCTATACATCATTTCTTAGGCAGTTCCTAAAGGAGAGGCTTTAGTAAAATGAAAAACCAAGAAAGAGGAAAGTGTGGATTCAAGAACCAGACAAAGTCACAAAGCGAGTCTGCAGACATGACAGCATCCAGTGGGTGCATTTAAAGTGTGGCAGACACGGTCCAGTGTCTCGTTGTGTCGCTACGGCCCTACCATTTCAGCACAGTCTGGACAACTTCTAAGTGCCGTTCTGCTTCCTTTTGCCCAGGCTTTCTCCAGAACCATTTAAAGCTACTCTGATTCTCACTTAGCATCGCAAAAAGGAGATAATTAACAACTCCAGAAGCAGACCTCAGTTGACAGCTGGTGGAAGTTGTTGTACTAATACCCCAGCTCCCTCCACTTATGGTGGTCATTCTGAGGTGTGAGTTCAACATCTTCACTGGTTTCCCCTGGGATTAGGCTCCCGTCATCCTGACAGGCTTGATAACATGTCCCTTATTGGCCGCCTTCCTTTCCGTCTCACTGCCCTGTTCACCTCCTGGTGTCTGCTGTGCTTCCCACACAAACTACTGACACTTTAATGCTCGTTTCAGGGTCTGCTTCTGGTGGAACTCCAACTGAGACCAAGTGGGAGGGAGGAGGGCTCTGGGAGAAAGGCCCATGGGGACAAGAAGGCAGCTAATAAGCATTTGATGTCTCTGAATATTGGAACAATTTGAGTAGACTGAAAAATCTCTTGTAGTATTTAAGAGGAATCGGAAATAGAAAACTAAGCAAGCAAGCAGACAATAGCACTAAAAAGGGTACTATCAACAGCAAAATAAAACAGAAGAAAGCTGTAAGGAAAGGAAACATGCTCACAGAACACTACTGGGTTCACTGCAGTTGTACCATGTGAAAGTTATTATTGTTTTAACTAAAATTGTGCACTAACTACATTGGAAGAAAGAGGGAGGAAAAGCAGATGATTAAGTCAGAAGATGATAGGATCTTTGTCTGTAATCAATAGATAAATGGATAATTCATGAAAAAAAGCAGAAAAAATATATTATCTAAAAATATGATGATAAGTACCAGGAAAAAACTGCAACAAGAGGTGACAGTGGTTCTCTGGGACCAAAGAAACCGAACGTTGCGGGTCCAGATAGTACACGAATTTGTTATACGTACATATGTTTTAAATTAATTGTTTTTTCTTCTCCCCCAAATCCCCTAGTACGTAGTTGTATACCCTTGCTGTAGGTCCTTCTGATTGTGCTGTGTGGGACATTGCCTCAGCGTGGCCTGACGAGTGGTGCCATGTACCCGTCCAGGATTCGAACTAGCGAAAGCCTGGGCTGCCGAAGCGGAGCCCACGAACTTAACCACTCGGCCACGGGGCCGGCCCCTGTTTTAAATTAATTTTAAAGACAAAGTTGATAGGTCATGAAGTAGTTACGCTTGTAATATAGTTTATAGCTTATATAATTATGTACAAAAATTAAAATTTTTAAATATGAAATTTAAAATGGAAAGAGAGAAAGGGAAAATGTAACGGAGCTGAACTATTTATACCCAACATTATTGTTTCAATATCTGTTTGCATAGACATGCATTTATTTTAGATAATTTTTGAAAGGCATTTAAATAAAAGGATAAATTAAAGAATGGAGGAATAGTTCATATCGCTGTGAAGGTTGGTGTCTGCACTGCTCTTTTCCATTCATGGAGAAGGGGAGGAAGAAAGCTCGAAGGACTGATGTTCCGAAGCCTCGACTGTTGCTTCTGTGTAGCTAACGAATGCAGCCTGAGGTAGGTAAGGCTTTATCTGAGCACATTCATAATATGAAAATATAAGCTGTTCAATTCGAATCCACTAGTAAAATGGTGTGGAAGGTGACTTTTCAGATAGTGGGAATCTTAATTTCATTTATGAAAATGGGAAAAATTATTCTTTCCCGGCCCATCCCAGCATCCAAATCAATTCTCAGTATCCATAAAACGTTCAGCTATACAGCTATGAAAATCTACCAAGGATGTCTATGTATGTAATGCATTTAAAACATCAGCTATTTAATTATCTAATGGTCAGTGAACTCATCAGTGAGTGTAACTGCTTGCAGTATACAATGATACTATACAGTATCAAATACAAATTAGGTTTTTACTCTGTTCCAGGGAAAACATGTACTATAGTAAAAAAACACAATAAAATAATGTGATATAGATAATAATAAAATAGAAAATTAATTCAACTGTCACATAACAAAATAAAATAAACAAGCAAAGTCATATTTTTAAAATTATTAATGGACAAAGACTTTTCTGAGTCAGATTTGGTGGCAAGAGAGGGAAATGGGGGTGCGTAGTCACTCTTGCTGGTGGGAGAAGGTGAGTGAGAACCGGTGAGAGCCAGAGAGTGAAACAGCAATTGCCAGATATTTCCCACACGTCCCCCCGCGGAACTGGGCAACGTCCTCTCCTCCATCCACTGTTGGCGCTGGAAGTAGACAGACAACGGCTCCAGGAGACACACACAGACAGAATGGGCACCTGGCTGGGTTTCCTTTGCTTACAATTATACAGCTTCTGCTAACATGAGACATGGCTGGCAATTCAATCTTTTTGAAATGATACACCTTCTTCCCTTCCTCATAAGGCAGTGGCAATTATTTTTCCATATGTTCCAAAATTTATTTTAAATTTTTGTTATAAAATATCCAGGTTCCTTCCCTTCTTCTCACTCAAACCCTCAACGAGCAGCAGGTTGAACAAATTCCTCTCTTGTAAATTCTTCTAACGTGGCTTTCCTAAGCCTCCTTGGCTCACCCACATTCCAAACAATATCTTCCACTTTCTTAGAGAATACTTCAGGTGAATAATTTGGAGATGGTAGTTATAACACACAAGGCATGTAGACAGTGAGAGCAGATGGTGATGCGATCTCATTCACAGAGTGTCCGAGGCACCAGTGGGGTTTGTGCTACACCCTCATACTCCGAACCAAAAAGGGGAGAATCAATATTTGTTACAGTGGGTTGTTGACTTCCTGTTGAATTTCAGTTGTTTTGTACACAGTGGTAGCAAATATTTTATTTGTGAGAATTCAGATAGTAAGAGATACCAGAACAGGAACAGAACCCAATGGGAGGTGGAAAACTAAACAGCTCACTGTAAAAATATTAAGGTAATTGTGTTAGGGTCAGCAAAAAGCAACCTGTTCCCAGGGTCCGATAAAGGGAAATGAGAGGTTTGAGTAGGGAAAGAGAGAGAGACTAGAACAGCACGTCGACAGAGAGCCACAGAGAAAAGGCAACTGCAGAAGAGGCCGTGTGTGCTCTGCCCTGGAGGTTCCTGCAAGCAGCCCCATAGTGCCGTGGGCTACCAGTGTCTCTGCCTGATGGTCTTCGGGAGCCTGCTCAGCTGGCCCGCAGTGTGAGTCAGACGTGGTTGGGAGTCAATGCTCCTGGAGCGAGTCTTCACCACCGAGAGGAGGGATTGGTGGATAAATGACCCGGGTCCTCATCCTTGGAAGGGCAACTCAGAATTGTGTTCTACACGCTCTCAGAGGGCGATCAGCATGATTATCTGTTATCAACAGCAATGACCTCCTCAATAAATCTCCCTGTTTAGGCTCTCCTTCCTTCCCCATCTTACTACCCCACTCAATCACAGTGCTTTCTGGGACCACCTTCCAAAGAAACTAGTTACCCATAAATCTTTCTTTCAGGGGAAACCCAAAATAAACATCAACCAAAAGGAATTCCTGGTAGCAGGAGCAGGCAAAATGGCTTTTAAGCCCATGGGCAGATACCTTCCACGTTAAGTGGGTTTTTCTAACAGTTTGAGCCCCTCTGTTATCGCTACAGTTCAGTGAAAGCTTACTGTACACCATTGCTTCATTGGAAGATGTTTGGGGAAATCAAACAAAAGAGGCCAATGCTCCCCATAGAATTCCACATACAAAAGATAGACGAGACGACCAAAGGAGCTGAGACATGAATGAGAGAGAGATTTCAGAGGGTGCAAGAGTTGGAGGAAGTGGTGAGTAGGAGGAATAAAAGCCTCCAGAATGACCTGAGATGTAAATGTGAACGATATGGGGTTTCTCCTCATGTGTGGGATAGTTGCTCAAGCCATTTTACTTTGTCATTAAGGAAAATGGGGACCAATCAGATGGAGGACTTGGAATACACAGATGGCTGCCATGTGGGCTTCACATTCATCAGTCCTTCAGAGTTCATTCTGTCAGGATGGAATAAGTGGGTCAGAAACAAACATAAATCTCCTTCGTGTGAGGCAAAAGTCAAGAAGTAGCATTAGTGAGGCCAAGGCCAAGTGCAGGGGGGTTTAGAAGGTGGCATGACTCCCTCCAAATGGGGGAATGTGGATAAGGCTTTCAGGGTGCGTTGACATTTAATCCAAATAGGGAGGACCAGAGTGATTTGCACACATGGAATAAAGGCAGTCCAGGGGAATGTATTGGTGTGAACCCAAGCCCATATTTCCAAGGCCCCTCGAGTAAAATAAATGTATTAACTTTATGTAATGGGTTTGTTTAGGGACCTCATTTCACAGAGTCGTAAGGACCACAAAGACAAAACTTTTTGATATGTAAATTTTTAATAGAAAAAAATGAGCACTTTGTGTCCAGGAAAGCAAAAACATGTCACGAGATGATCAATAATTCTACGAAGCACTAATCGATAATTCTAATCTCAAAGCATTAAACATTAACCAATTATCCTTTCTAGATATTTATTACCAGGAGTGATGGCACAAAAGAGATGGTAAAGTGGATAAACTGAAGTGATCTATATTGTGTTGAAGGCAGCAAGGTACATTTTTCTCCCTCTTCTGGGAAAAATTACTCTTGCACCTCCGGAGTACATTTCTCTTCCTTCTCTAATTTTTTTTCTAGTTGTTTGATCTCCAGAGACAGCTTATACAGCTCCAGGGCCGTTCTCACATCCTCCGGCTTTGGGAGACACTGCATGATTTTTCTGCCTGCGAGCACTTGCTCACAGCCTTCAGCGATCTCCTGAAAGAGACACAGTGGTGAGCGCAGTTGAGAGAGTTCTCTCTAAATCACGAAGTGGTGGGGGGGGAGGCGGTTGCATTCTGACAATGGCAGGACTAGGGGATCAGGGTCAAGACCAACCCCAGGACTGGAGGGTGAGCAGGAAAACCAGAAAACACTTTGGGGCCCACCATAGTCTTCCCCAGAGGGATACAGATCTGTTCTGAGACAGCTTCCCAGAAGGCCTCTATGGGGACAGAGGCTATTTCTGCTGACCCCCCAGAAACAGAACACAGTATATCATATAGTTTAGAAAAAGTGAAGTTAGGAGTCAGTAGTCCCAAGTCTCTGAGACTCTCCTCTCCCTAAGGGGCTCAGTTTTTCCTGTTCTCAAGTGAGAGCTGGAAAACTTACCACTCCTAACTCATCGGAACACTTCACGGCAAAAAAAGAGAGTTCCTCTGAGTGACTCAGAAATGAACCCTGACAAGTCAGATCTCACCACTGCTGGTGCCCATAGTGCTTTGGGAGCACCAGTTTTAGGGTCTGATAGCACAGGAACTTGCTCGAATTGTGCCACTTACCCACTCACACATGGGCACCTCGGGGTACCAGGTGCTGTTCTCTGAGCAAGTGATACTTTGGAGACCAACCAAACGATAGTGAGGGTCACACTGGATGGTGACATTTTCAGGTGTAATATACTGATCCTTAACCACAGACAGCCGTCCATGCTCTATCTGTGGTTTCGGACACAGAGCTACAATGGAAACACAGTTTTAAGTAATCTGCAAATCTACGAAAAAAGACACGATGACAGGCTAGGATTATAAGAATGAACTGTACTGGGTGCTGCTAATTGTTTTATCTTTTTTTTTTATTTTGATAACAATAATATTAGTTAACATTTTTATTGCGCATTGGCTATGCATCAGATTTAGATTAAGCATTTTATGTGACCATCTCATTCAAGTCTCATTCAGCTCTAGAAAGTGAGTACTGTTATTATTTCCATTTTATTTGGGGGAAAGTAGAGATACAGACAGGTTAAGAAATTTGTCCAAGGTCAAGGTCATAATATTTATAAATAAAAATGACAGGATATAAGAAGGGCATGTGACCTCAGATTCTGAGCTATCAAAGCAACTATCCCTCATAGCTTGATCCCTGCAAGACACTAGGCATGAAATTTTCCCTCTTGCCTATTATTCTCCTGCATGCAATGGAGACGATGGTGGCAAATCACCCCCGGAGTTGCTGATGGCAAGGTGATATTAAAGCTGCGTGCATATAGAAATCAAATCCGATCTTGCCTTCTCCTGGTCCTGCAACAGCCTGGCAAACTAGAAGTCCCCCACTACACACCTACCTCAGGGTAAGTGGTGCCCCGCCTAAGGCTCTGATGGATAAACCTCATTTTATCATGTTTGGAATTAGCCCATGAGAGCCTACATTCATGCTAGAGTAAGCTTCCATGAAAACTTTGCTCAGGCCACAGTTACACTCAGATAAGATGTACTACCTATAGAATATTTCTGGAGATATACAAGAAACTGGGAAGGGGGGTGCCTCAAGGAGGCTGAATTTTGTGACTGGGAAAAAGAAGAAGGGGAGAGATTATTGCGTCCGTATGCTCTTTATACTTTTTGCATTGGGTACCATCTGAATATAGTGATTATTTAAAATAAATCAAATCAAATCAAATGTTTTCCTGCTGCCTCTGGCAGAGAAGAAACCTTACTCGGAATTCTTTCATGACAGTTCCACCTACTTAGCCATGAGCTGAAAATGGAGCTGAAGTTACCTTTACATTGAGGAGCTGGAGATGACCAGCCTGAAGAATTGCAGGAGAGCCTGGCCTGTCCAACCAGAGAGTATCCTTCATCACATTCGTACAGAACCTCATTTGTCCAAAAACCATTAACTTCTTTATAATGTCCGTGGTCAATGGTCGCAGGAAAAATGCAATCTTGATGGTGAGACATAAAAGTGAGAGAGCATGAGCTTGTGGAGTGTACATAATAACACATCCCAGAATCTGTGTGGTTTGTAGGAGGCTTCATTCTGTCCTGTCCTCTTCTCTGCCCTTAGGATCACTTAGCCAAATGTAAGACCTGTGCTGCCCTCCTGTAAGCCTCGGGCTGAGGAACCATCATGGCCTCCCTAGTAGACCACTTGGTGGTCATTTCCATTATCTTCAAAAGCATAAATGGAATAGACAAAATTGGTTATTGGCCTAATCTCCATATTGGGTCCTTGGCCTACAGGTTAAGAGTTATCATATCCAGGAAGGCCAAGTAGGAGCCATGGATACTGCCCACATCCCTCCCCCTTGAAGCAAAGAAAGTAAATTTAAAGACTGTATCATGTACCAAGGAGTAGGGGAAAAGGGGGAAATTAGTGCAACTCTTAAAGAACAAAAGATGCAGGAGTGGTCATCCCCATCATATTCTCATTTACTTCATCAGTCTGTCTACTGCAAAAATTAGGATTGTGGAGAATTATAGTAGACTGTTGAAAACTCAACAAGATTTGAGCCCTTATTGTAACTATTGCATCATATGTGGTATCTTTGCTAGAACAGATAAATGTATCTTCAGGAAAACGAGGCCACTGATTTAGCAGAGGCCTTCTTCTCCATCCTTATCGGAAAAGAACGTAAAAAACAGTTTGCATACTTATGGGAGGGTCAAGATCATATATTTGCAGTTTTAACCCTGGGCTATGATAACTCACCTGTCCCTGTCATAATAGAATATAAAGATACCAGGACCATCTTGGACATCCACAGAATATCATATTGATCCAGTATATCACTGGCATTATATTAATTCTACTGAATGAGGAAGAAGAAGCTAGCATGATGTGAGAGCATAGAAAAAAAAATATGTGTATACTGGTCTCTGCCCTAGTTCCTGGCCTAAACCTCCCAAAACTGTTATAAATTCCCAAGTGTTGAGAGCACTGGGAGTATCTTTTGTTCTCTTGAGGTAACTCTGGGTGGGCTCCTGGATGGGGGTTGGTCCCTGGAAAGAACAAGCCATCATTAGAAGCTTGGAATTTTCAATCCCACCTCACCTCCATCCTCCAGAGAGGGGAGAGGGGCTAGAAACAGAGTTAATCATTGATCATGCCTAATGAGGAAGTCTCCATAAATCCCAATAGTTTAGAGAGCTTCCAGGTTAGTGATCACATCCACCTGCCAGGAGAGCGATGCAACCCTACTGCCCGGGGACAGAAGCTCCTGCACTAGGGACGCTCCTGGAGGCCTCACTCTACGTATCTTTTCATCTGGCTGTTCATCTGTGTCCTTTATCATAACCTTTAATAAACTGGTAAACATAAGCAAGTGTTTCCCTGAGTTCTATGAGCGCTGTAGCAAATTAATAGAACCTGAGAAGGGGTTGTGGGAACCTCGGATTTTAGCTAAGTTGGACAGAAGTTGTGGGTGACATGGGGACCTACTGCTTGTGCCTGGCATCTGAAGCAGGGGGCAGTCTTTTGGGACTGAGCCCTTAATCTGTGGGATCTGATACTGTCTGTAGCTAGATAGTGTCAGATTGAGTGAAATTTAGGACACCCAGTTGGTGTTGTGGAGAATTCCTTGGTGTGAGGGAAAAAACCTCACATATTTGGTCACTGGAAATGTTGTGAGTGCTCTGTGTGAGCAGTAAAGGGAACACGCAGGAGAAACATAGGGCACGGGGGGAAAGACTGGGTTTTTCCAACACACAGGATTATGCTCCAGAGTAGAGAGGGTAAAGATTCAGGCATTTGCCACAACAGTAAAATTTTTAGAGGTTCCAGGCTCAGAGCTTGCTAGGCTATCCCATCCAAACAAAAGTCAAATTATTGTAAATTGTACATCCGATCACAAAGAAGAAAGCATAGGAACCTAGACTTTTAGTCTGATATATTGCTATTTTTTAAACTTCTTAAAATCTTTTGTTTTTCCAGATTTAAAGAAATCTTTACTCCTTGGTAAGATACCTTTGTGAACAAAGATGAAACATTTACTTTTTCTCTCTATCTGGCCCTTTCAAAATTCAGAAACTCTCATTTATATAAATAACCAAGTGAAGTTTTAATACAAATAAATTAGTTTTGCTGTGACTAACTTTGGTAAAAAAAAAAAAATAAGAGTAATTATAGAGAGAAGAATTATGTTTGCATCTTTATAGATATTAGATTCTAGTCTTGATAATGGTCTTTGAGTTTTTGTTATATACCTGTAGACTAGACTCCCTTGACCTAAGGTGTTGCCTTTGGTCTCACTGACTGTTTGCAGTACCCACTTTGGAAAACATAAACTCCCTCTACACAAGACAATCACTGGCAGACCAGTGTCTATTGGTACACAAGCTTCTGCTGATCCCTTGTTGTCCTATGCCAGAATGACCACCAACTGTAAGTCTTTAATGTCTTGTGCTTGAGTCTATAATCAACAGGTAAAAGAAGCTTTCCTGGATTCCAACTTAGAGGATCCTGTTGGTCACAGTCTAGAGCCTGGTGACTGGGTATTCTGGAAGCATCATCATCAGAAGACAGCCCTCGAGCCCCACTGGAAAGGACTATACCCAGTGCTCCTGACCACTGACTCTGCCAGAGAACTAGAAGGCACTGAAACTTGGATATATATCTTACAGCCAAAAAAGGCTCCACCTGACCTCCAGCCCTGTACAAATCCTGGAGACCTTGAAATCAAATTGACTAGGAAGAGGAGCAGCTGACATCGGATGTTGACAGCTTTCCCAAGATTTGGGACCAGGCCAGTATGTACGCACACAGAGCTCTAACCGTATCACTTATCCTCCCCATAATAGAACTACTCCGTCACCTTGATAAATTTATTGAGCCACATGATAATAACTCAATATTCTTGCTAAGAAAGACCTACTTAGCTAGCTGATGGTTTCAGAATATCACGTAATGACCTCCTTTATGATTATTATTGGAATTCTGCTTTCTGTACTTGTATTTAAACTTCTGCTGCTGCTACTCACCCAGATCTTCTCCAGAGCTTCTACAGACGCCAAGGTTATGATCTCTTACCATATTGGAATCATAGATAAGGCTTCAGGTAACCGGATGAAATTCCCAGGTGAGGAAGCTGCCTGAGAGTCACTTCCTGACCGCCTCCTTTTTGCTCAAATGTGACCTAACCCTTATGCCACTGACTCCTTGGAATAACCATCAGAAAAAAAAGAAGAAAGATTTCCCCTAGACGTGGGACATGACTTCCTGGGACAGGTCCGTCCCAGCGACGTGGGGCTAAACAAATCTGTGGTTGATCAGTGATGCTTTCAGGGGGAGATCTCAATCAAACGGTCTTTGAAATGTGAAACAAAACCGTCACTTACGTCTAAGAGCTTTAAAATGGACCCAGGAGGCCATTAAGGAAATGAGTCTTATGTACATCTTCACTGGGCAGTACATGAACTTCTTAACTGAGTCGAGATACGGATATTCTGAGAACACTGCAAGAAATCTGCAGCTTGTCACAGTGACAAACTTTGGCCTCCCTCTATCTAGCCTTGGCAATCAATTATATTTAGCCAAGAGTAGCTTTCCACAGCCAACCCCAATTAACATTCCTTGTAATACAAACCTCCCCCTTTTGCCTTTAAAAGCCCCTACCTCTTCCTCCCTAGTGGGATAGTATTTGGGTTGCCAACTAAATCTGTGTACCCCACATTGCATGATCCCAATTAAAGGCCTCTCTGCCTCTCATTTTGGCTCTTTATTTTTAGGTTAACAGTGGCATGGATGGGGGATAAGCGTGGGCCCAACAGCATGGATTCCCACTCACCAAGGCTGCTGTCACTGAGTCTCCGTTCTGCCAGCAACAATGCTAAGTCCCTGATGCGATACCATCTCTTAAGACGACCAAAAAGCCCCTTGGTAGCACATTGACTATATAGGAGCTTCTTCCACTTGGAAGGAACAGCTATCTATTTTGACAGAAATAAACAACTATCCAGGTATAGGTTGGCCTTTCCTGCCTGCAGGACTTCAGTCAGCACTGCTATCTAAAGGATTATAGACTGTTTACACAATTGGCATGGGATCCCACTGCATGGACTGGAAGACCCACTCTCAGCAAAAAACATGTGGCCCTGGGACCACGGCCATGGAATGCACTACTCATATTTACAGACTGCATCAGCCAGTACCTACAGACCTGTTAGAACACTGCAGTGGCCTGTTAAAGGCATAGTTGAAGCGCCAGTTGAGAGGCAATACTTTACGATGATGAGATTTTATAATATTACTGTACATTTTCTTCCAGCACACAGTAGTCACTTTAAATCAGAGATTGGCCTTTATACAGTATTTAGCCTCTAATATAATAAAACAAAATGCATGGGTCCAGGAACCAAGAGGTGCAAGCATGAGTGGCCCTACTTACCATCACTCTAAGTGACCTACTTGGGGAAATTGTGCTTCTCATCCCTGAAACTCTGGGATCTGCAGATTGAAAAGTCCTGGTTGGCAAAGCGGGAACACTTCCACCAGAAGGAGATGAAAAGAATCCCATTGATTTCTAGGCTGCAACTAGTGCCTGACCCCTTTGGGATTCCTTTGGGCTCCCTCTTGCCCATAAGGCAAGAAGAGGAATCCCTATCCTGGCAGGGGTGATTGTTCCAGATCATCAATTGATAAGGCTATGGAAAAACAATGATAGAAGGGAGGATTGTGTTTAGCATGTAAGTGCTCTTGGTGAGGGAGAGGTAGGTATTTCAGTTGGGAAGAGTGTGAAGGAGGGCTTGGAAGCAGCGGAAGAAATGGAGCAAGTTCAGAAAGGCAGGTCCCAGTAACCTGGCTGCGTCTTGTACTGCAGGTTAAGGCATATGGACCAGAAGGAAGGGAAGAATAGAGAATAAACACCAGGAAACAGAAGGCAATAATTCAAAAGTCTAGCTGATCTATTAGATGTGGCCTATTTTCACTGACTCAGAAGAGAGAAGAAAGCCAGGAAGGTCTAGAGAATGCGGATAACCAATGGAGGAAAAAAGAGAAAGCTGGATGGGGCATGGGGGAGGGGAGGGTGCACGGTGAACGAAGTTATCCACTCCAAGAGTCGTGCAGGGTGTACGAATTCTTTTACCTAATTTGAAACCTTCCCTTAATAATCTCCATCACTTTGAAATGAAGAAACTTCTAAAATAAGATAATTCCATAAGCTCTCACCGTCACATACTGGTGTTTTGGGATGCCATGTGCCATCTTTTTGGCAAGTAGCGGAAAACTCTTTTTTCTTAAAACATGAATATGTAATTTTTTCTCCGGAGGAATAGACGCAGCTGCTGGTGGAAGCTCTTCTTCTCTGACTAAAGATTTCACCGTTCTTCAGCTCTGGTACTGGGCAACATACCTCTAAAAAGTAAAAAGTGAGGCTAATGGTTAGTAAAACCGCCCTGAGGCGGCTCCTATGGCTACACTCTCATTTCACCTTTGGAAGAGCTCCCCACTAAGAAAAGACTGGGGAAAGAGGAAAGGGTACCCGAGCCCCTGGAGTCTGCTCTCTTGTCCCTGACAAGCTAAAGATTCCAACCAGTCATCTCCCACCAGCTAAACATTTTCATTTCGAGTCTCCAAAATGAGAAGATGGGTCAAACAGCTATGAAAATGTAAATTTTCAATATTCAAGAGCAATGACAACATCCATCTCCTTATGGCTTCTTTCGGGTTATGTCATCATTAAGTTCTCTAATAACTTGCACTTGCCCAGTTACAAGAGGAAGAATGTTCTCAAAAGTTTATATCCACCTGATAGCTAATACATAGAAGTAAATTTAAATTATTGCTTATGGCCAGGATTTTTCTTTTTTGATGCCAAATTTAAGAAAAATAACTATTCAAATTCATTCATTTTTAATGCAGTAAAAGCTGATATAGGGATATAATTTTTGTTCATTAGTAGAAATACTTTCAGATAGAACTTGATACTGTTCGATGTAAGAGAAAACACCAGAAGAATAAAATGCTCTGCTCTCTGTATCAGGAGCTTGATCGGCACTACAGTAGGGTCTCTCAGGCACACTCAAATACTCTCAGTGCTCAGTTGTTTATGAATTATAATAAAAATATTCAACATTCCTATGGTTTCTAAATTGTATCAATAATATTTGTGTAATGCTTTACACAGAAAACACTTTAACATATTTAAGTCATGAGTCCAAATTCATATTTAATTAGATTTTATGATAACTTGGATAAATACCATTTCACTTCTACTTTTTAAATGGTTAAAAATATCCTCAACTAAATAATTAAATCAATAAGACCATAGTGGGTAAAATACATAATTTAAAAGTAGGTTTTTACGTCTGTATAAACATTCATTTATATTTTAAAAATTAGTGTATTAATTACATATCATTGTTTTTTATTTGTTAAAGAGGATTCTCAAAGGCTTGCATTTATCAATATATTTAAGTGGTAGCAATAATTTTTGTTAAATATATTTTTAATTCAGTCATTTTGTTAAAACCATTCATTCTATTTCCCCAAAATGAGTCTGAATAACTGCAATTAAACTTTAAGTTCTAAGGTGAAATGAACAATCTTTCAATAGGTTGATCTAAACTACCGTTTTTCATTATTTGTGCATTTTGCATGTTTTTCAAATTCCAATCTGTAGAATAAAGTTCCCTATATTCTGGGCCTCAGTGTGTTTACCTCAGAAATGGCAAGGTTCTGATAGATGTGTGGAAGGAAGCATTTTCTCCCACTGTTGTCAATTCTACCAAGGCCCATAAAATCACATCTACCTAGGCCGGCCCAGTGACCAAGTGGTTCAGTTTGAGTGCTCTGCTTTTGTGGCCCAGGGTTTCGCCAGTTAGGATCCTGGGTGCGGGCCTAGCACTGCTCATCAAGCCATGCTAAGGCACACAGCAGAGCCAGAAGGACCTACAACTAGAATATACAACTATGTACTGGGGGGCTTTGGGGAGAAGAAGAAGAAGAAAAAAAGAAGATGGGTAACAGAGGTTAGCTCAAGTGCCAATTTTTAAAAAAACTATTAAAAAAAATTGCATCCACCTGTCTCTAAGCCCCTTACTCATTCTCTTGAAAAGAGAAGGGGTCTTCTACCAGTGAGACTGGAGAAAGTCTCCTTTCTATCCTACTGAGGCAAGAATACTGAGTCAGGGGTCAGGATCTGTCTGCCAGAGGTAACTCAAGAGACCTAGCTCTTTCAGCTTGCAGACCCGTGGCTCAAGAGATATAAGACACAAGTCACCTTGCAGCCAATTGATCTCATGACTGTTTCACAGACTTTCTTTCTACCAAGGTCCCCAGAGTCTACACTGAGGAGGAAAGGGGTGTGATGGAGGTCTGACTCTGGCTATAGTTGAGCTGTATTCTCCATTCTACGTTTACCAGTAATGAAGCTCATACTTAATCTGCATAATGTTTGACTTCTGTGTCTACTTCTCACTTGATTCTGAACTGGGATAGGGAAAGGCTACAATTTCTTGGCTCCTGAAACTCCAAGACCTTTATGGTCCCTTCTGGCAATGAGTTCACTGTACCATTGAATTAATATAATTTTAAACTCATCTTGAGGGATAACATTATATTCATTTAAGGTAAAAATCCTAGTACATGCCAAACATTGAAAATACAAAAAGATTTGAAAAACAGAAACTCACCCTCACATTCCGTGTATGGAGTCCACCTGAAATCTTCCTGACAAATCACAGCCGTGGGTTTATCTGAAGCAGGTTTATAGCCAGTCAGGCAATGGTACTTCAACACAGTCCCAACATTATACACGTCCTCTTTTGTTGGCCTCTGATACCTGTATCGTTCCCAGAAGGCATTTGGGATGTCTGGTAAGTTGGTACAACCATCTGCTCAGAAATAAAGAACAAGAGAAAAGGACACTGTTACTAGCAATGCAGCAGTGAGCCCGTCCTGTAACTGGGTGTCACGTGTTCATCCAGCCAGCAACCCGCCTGCGGTGGCTGATGAATCAGCTACACCAGAAAACACACACGAACGTTTGCCCAAATGTGTGCGGCATCAGAGAGGGTCTTACTAAGGGCACCACCAAGCGGTTTCTATGTGTTGTACCAACTATCCAAAATGTCAACTCTCCCTCCTCTTCATTGTACTTCAGAAAGTTTAGTTTCTGAATTGATGCATTAGCCTTGCTAGGTAGGTAGGCTGGAGGACTGCTGCAGACAAACAAATGTAGCTTTCTTGTTTCCTGATTGATTGGGGAAAATAAACAAAAGCTATTCCTCTTATCCAGATGACACCAGGAACTTTATCATTTAAGGGCTTCACAAGAACAAACCGAGGACCAAGTATCTTTTGAGCCTAGACCGTGCATCTTCTCCTCTTCACTCTCTCCTGGTTCCACCGGTTCATATGATGTGGGAGTATAATACAAACATCCGCCAAGTTGGATGTTTACTCCATTTTATCTTCAGATGTTTAAAATGCTATATAGAGTAAGACTCTTTTTTAACAGTTTTATTGAGATACAAGTCACATAACATAAAATTCACCCACTTAAAATATACAATTCAGTAGTGTTTAGTATATTCAAAGAGTTGTGCAGCCATCACCACTATCCAATTTTACGATATTTTTACCAACCCCAAAAGAAACTCTGTACTCATTAGCAGTCACTCCCTATTCCCACCTGCCCCCAGGCCCTGGAAGCCACTAATCTACTTTCTCTATATATGAATTTGCCTATTCTGGACATTTCAAATAAGTGGAATTATGCAACATGTGTAACTGGCTTTTTCTTTTTTCTTCTTCTCCCCAAAGCCCTGCAATAGGCAGTTGTATAGTCCAGTTGTGGGTCCTTCTAGTTCTACTATGTGGGACGTCGCCTCAGCATGGCCTGATGAGCGGTGCTAGGTTCGCGCCCAGGACCTAAAAGAGCGAAACCTGGGGCTGCCAAGTGGAGCGCATGAACCCAGCCACTCCGCCACGGGGCCGGCCCCAGGCTTTTTTCACTGAATATGATGTTTTCAAGTTTCCTCCATGTTACAGCAGGTATCAATACCTCATTCATTTCTATCGCCAAATGATCTTCCATTGCATGGATATACCACTTTTTGTTTATCTGCTTTTTAGTTGGTGGGCATTTGGGTTGTTTGACTATTATGAATAATGCTGCTATGAACATTCACATGAAATTTTTTATGTGCGGACAACTGTGTTCATTTCTCTTGGATAGATACCTAGGAGGGTAATTCTTGGGTCCTATAGTAACTCTATGTTTAAACTTTTGAGGAAGTGCCAAAACACTTTTCCAAAATGGCTACACCATTTACATTCTCACCAGCAATGTATGAGGGTTCCAATTTTTCCACATCCTCACCAACATTTGTTATTGTCTATCTTTTTAATATAGCCATACGGATGGGTGTGAAGTGGTATCTTATTGTTGCTGGAAGACCACCTTGCAAGAAATACTAAAGGAGGTTCTTTAGGCTGAAAGCAAGTGACGTCAGACAGTAATTTGAATCCACACAGAAAAACAATGAGCATCAGCAATGGTAATTATTTAGGTAATTAAAAAGGCAGTATAATTGTATATTTCTTCTTTTCTCTCTTAATTAATTTAAACAGCAATTGCATAAAACAATATGTATATATTTTCATTATTAAGCCTATAACACATAAAAATGTGATATATTTGACAATAACAGCACAAAGGAGGTGGGTGGGAGCAAAGCTGTATTGGAGTATGGAAATAATACCAAGGGTAACTTGAATGCACAGGAAGAAATGAAGAGAACCAGAAACGGTAAAAAGAAGATTAATATAATAAACTCTATAAATATATACTTGCTCTCTTTTCTTCTCTCAGCTACTTTAAAAGACATGAAATATAAAATCATATAAAACAATAGTTATAACAATTTATTGTTGGGCTTGTGACACATATAAATGTGAAATGTTTTGCTGGATTCTTGGCTGACTGCTTTTTCTTTCTGCACTTTGATTATGTCATCTCACTGCCTTCTTGCCTCCGTTGTTTCTGATGAGAAGTAAGATGTTAATCTTACTGGGTTTTCGTTGTACATGATGGTGTTGCTTTTCTCTTGCTGCTTTCGACATTTTCTCTCTATCCCTGGCTTTCAACATTTTGACTATGATGTCTCCTGGTGTGGATATTTTTGTATTTATCCAACTTTGAGTTTAGTGACCTTCTTGGATGTGTAAATTAATGTGTTTTTTGGTCAAATTTGGGAAGTTTTCATCCATTATTTCTTTGAATGTTTTTGCTGATACTTTCTTCTGTTGTCTATATTGAGGTGTCTAACAGTGTCCCACATTTCTCTGAGGCTCTATTCATTTTTCTTCATTCTTTTTTCTCTTTATACTTCAGATTGCATAATTTCAATCAATATATCTTCAAATTCACCAATTCTTTCTTCTGCCAGATCAAATCTACTGTTGAGCTCCTCTTGTGAATTTTTCTTTCACTTATTGTACTTTTCAACTCCAGAATTTCCACTTTTTTGTATGTAATTCCTATCTTTATTTATTCTCTATTTGATGAAGCATTGTCATAATATCATTCTTTAATTCTTTAAATACATTTTCTTTAGTTCTTTAAACATATTTATAAGCTGCTTTGAACTTATTTTCTGCTAAGTCCAACATCTGGGCCCCTTCAAAAGGCAATTTCTTTCTTTCTTTTTTTAAAGATTGGCACCTGAGCTAACAACTGTTGCCAATCTTCTTCTTCTTTTTCTCCCCAGAGCCCCCCAGTACATAGTTGTATATTCTAGTTGTGAGCGCCTCTGGTTGTGCTATATGGGACACCGCCTCAGCGTGGCCTGATGAGCTGGGCTGTGTCCACACCCAGGATCTGAACCAGTGAAAGCCTGGGCTGCCAAAGCGGAGCATGCAAACTTAACCACTGGGCCACGGGGCCAGCCCCTCAAAAGGCAATTTCTATTGTCAGATTTTCCTTTTTGTATGGGTCTTTCCTTCCTGTTTCTCTGCATGTCTGATAACTTTTTGTTGAAAGCTGGACATGTTAGATAATATCTTGTAGTAACTTAGGATGTTGATTCCCCTTCCTCACTCCAGGGTCTGTTGTTGTTGTTTCCTTGTTTGTTTGTTTAGTGACTTGACTGAACTAGTGCAGTTAAGTTTATTTCCCCAAAATTGTGCAGCCTCTAATGGTGCTTCCAAGAGAGCACAGCCTTGGGCATGCACACAGTCTTTCTACCACCAGGGATGACTATGGTTTTCTCTTTGTCTCTTTCCCGTTCAGCGTTAAGCTTTCGGCAGGTCTGCCTCTATTGTTGTTACATACAGCTGTTAGCCTCCACTAATTGTTAGCTGATTGCTCTTTTATTTTTGACAACTCCCTGGGGCATAAATTGCTTCACAACCTGATCCAATTAAAGTCAGGTCCCTTGGCAGGGCAGGGCCTCGATAGTCTTTGAGGCTTACTTCAAATCTCCCCTGACAGAACCTTTTGCCATGGATCAGGAGCTGGGGGAAATTGGGGAACTAATTCTTCACCAGCTGCCCCACCAGAATCCTCCTATGGTATCGGAGCTGTGGGAAGGAGAGAAGAGAGTGGAGGTAGGAACTGGTACTGCCACCTGGCTGTGCCCACCACCAAAACAGATATTTCACAGCCCAGAGCTTAGGCAAATGAGATTTGCCAATATTTCCTGGCTGTCAAATCTACGCATAATAGTTCTTCCTCTCTAGGAGGCTGGGGAAGATGGGAGATGCCACTTGGCTGCTGAGCCTACTGGAGCAGCCCTACTGCAACAGAGGGCTGTGCAGGAAAGGACTGAATTCTTCACCAGATGCCCCACTCGGATCTTCCTTGTATAATGGGAGTTGGGGTGGAGGAGCAGACACTAATATCTGGCTGACGTCACCTGCAGCATGGAGCTATGGAAAATGCCATCGCAAGATTTTGACTGACTGCCAAATCCACTCCAAATAGCTCTTCCACTCCAGGGAGCTGGGAGAGATGGGAATTGCCACTTGTGAGCCTACTGAAACAGTTCTCCCATAAGGCTGTTGGGAGCCGAGTACAAATCCTAGCTCTAATGTAATGGCTTCCCATTGTTTGTTCCAAGTCTCCATAGATTTTTTTTTTTAATAAATGCTTATCAATTTCTTGTAAGACCCTTGATCAATCCAGAGACTTTGCATGGTTTTCTTTGCTAATCTTGACAAGTTTAATAGATGCCTCTCTAGGAGAGAAGTTTCTCCAAGCTTTTTGCACCACTATTCCAGAAGTCCCCCCGGGTAAGGTTCTTGACATTTCATGAAGGTAAAAGTGAGAGCAAAGTCATTAGCGGCTTCCTCCCATTTCCAGTTGTGTGACCTTGGGCAAATCACTTAACCTCTGTGAATGGGTTCTTCATCTGTAAAATGAGGATAATAATATTGCCCACAATTGCTGGAAGGATTCATTGAGTTAATCCTTGTTATGTACCTGCACTAGCACCAAGCTATCATTGCTACTATTAGCATTATTTTTAATGATCTGTGTGGGTTTATAATTTCAGAGTATTAGAATCACAGTTACTCCATACAACGCTTTTGCACAAGTTAGAAAAAGACTTTTTTTCCCTCAGGACATTTTACTATTTATCTTTCAAAATAATTATCATAATATAATGATTCTGTTAGAACAAAACAATTTTCTATCAACTATAGGAACATCGTTGACATAAATATACTAATCCAAAACGTCTACAATGTTAATGTCTCCTCTTTGGGTTGGAGTGCGCACAATTTGCACAACTGTATGGAGCAGACTTTCATGATGTTATGTGACTTTGCACAGCATACCATAATTATTCTTTTTTCCAAGGAAAAAAATAAGGGAAATTACTGATTTAAATTTAAGTTTTTACTATGATTCAAGTGGGCTTAGGCATACAAGTATGCCCCCACCAACATTTCTGGGTATCTTGAAACTCCTTCAGTCCATACTCACTGAGCTCACAAACAGGAGGAGGAGGGTCCCAGTTGTTATCAGCTTCACAATGGATTAAACTGCTGCCTGTGAGGACATAACCCTTCTTGCAGTCCAACACAATAGCGTCTTTGTAAGTATAGAGGGGTCCAAATCCAGAGACAAAGATTCCATTTGGAACCTGTGGCTTATGACAGACAACATCTAAAGAAGCATAAGAAAGGACATCTCAGTTATAAAAGAGAAATGACAATAAGGATGTGACTATTGTTGGTATGGTTCCAAGGAAGACCTGATACAAGTATATACAAATAGATACAAAGAAAACATTTTAAAGCTTTATATATATATCCTTTCAGTTCCTAGGAACCTCAGCAGTGTGAGGTCTCATCATGTTAGTCATTGTGGATAAAGTCCTACAACTTTCTTATCAAAAAGTCCCTAGCAACATAGATACAGAGATTGGTGGTTGCCAGAGGTGGGGGTGGGGGTGGCGGAAATGGGTGAAGGTGGTAAAAAGGTAGAAAATTCCATTTATAAAATAAATAAGTCATGGGGATATAAAGTACAGCATGGTGACTATAGTTAACAACATTGTACTGTATATTTGAGAGTTGCTAAAAGAGTAGATCTTAAAGGTTCTTATCACAAGAAAACAAATTTGTAACTATGTATGGTGATTGATGTTAACTAGACTTATTGTGGTGCTCATTTTGCAATATATACAAATATCGAATCATTATGTTGTGCACCTGAAACTAATATAATGTTATATGTCAATTATGTCTCAGTTTAAAAAATTCTAACAATATCTAACCCCCAAAGCCCGAATCTCAAAGCCTCCAAATCATCCCCTTATAAGGGTCTACTTTCCCAGATGATTTGAGTGGTGGGTCAGTGGCCAATGGTAATATGGCGGTCATGATGAAAAGGCAGCCAAGTCACCAGAGATATGCGCGCTCACGAGCAAAGAGCAGACAAGAACAAACTGCCCCTCCCCTGGCAGTCAGTCCTCAAGCCCGATGAGTCCTGCTCTTTAATTCTGTTTCACTCTGTCGACTTCTCTGCAGGCCCACTGCCATGACTACAGTGGAAGCCACTTCACTGCCTGGCTGGATGGTTGCAACAGGTGTCTATGGAGTAAGTTTTTTCCCACCTCAAATTCTTGTCCACTCTGCAGCCAGAACTCTCTTTCTAAAATGCAGGACATTTACTTCCCTGATTAAAGCCTTTCGATGTCCACCCTCACCTTTGCTCTGAACTGCTGAGACTGACACACAAGGCCCTTCATAACCTGGCTCTGCTAACTTTCCAGCCTCAGTCTCTGCCGTTTCTACCTCTTGCAGTCTAGACTCCAGGCATTTGGAACTGCTTGCAGTATCAATGCGCTCTCAACTCCTGGTTAGATTGTGTGCTGTGATGAATCAGAATAGTGAATGATACTGAGTAGGCACTTAGTAGTGAAGGAAGATGCTTTAGATTGGCAAACTAACAATATCGCAATATACCTTCTGGCTTAATTACTATTTGCTTCATCCTGTTGACCTTCTGATGTTTAGCTGGTTCTGCTTGCCTTCTGGGCAATGTGTGGTTGATTGTTATAAGTGCTAACCAATATTTCCAGTTCTGCTTCCTGAACAGACAAAAGATGATATTCCCCACTTCCCTTAGAGTAGGTGGGGTCTCCACACTACTGGTCTTGGACAAAAGGCTGCAATGTAAAGTGATATGTGGTCACTTCCAGGCCAAAGCTTTTAAAAGCCAGGGCACGGTTTGCTTTCCTCTATTCCTCTACTGAAGAGACTGTGAAAGCACATTTTGATACAGAGGTGCCACATGATCAAAGCAACCTGAACTGCTGAGCCGGTTGCTAAACTAACGCCAGACTACAGCTTCCCCAGAGAGTCTCCTGGACATGCAGCAGACTCAGTATGTATTAGAGTCAACTTTTACTTGGGAAAGCCAGTGAGCTATTAGTGCTGCTTGTTACTATATACTGGTATAGCGTTATAAGTATCAGTTAACAAAATAAATGACCATACCATTGCAATAATTAGTTTGTCTTTGAATCATTCCATTTCCCCCAGTAAACTCACCTTCCTTTTTCTTTTAAACAAACAACTCAAACCAGAATTCATCACTGTGACTTACGTTTACAAGTCGGAGGGCTTGGGCTCCAGACACCTATCGTTTTATTCTCCACTGTGCAGGAAATGGAGGCTTTGCCTATCATTGAGAAGTGAGGGTCACAGCTGTAGGTGACAGAAGAGCCATATGTGTAGATGTCTTCATCTCCACCACTGTGCTTCCCATTGCTGATGGTTGGAGGGGCCTCACACTTGGCAACTGGGATGAGTGAGTGAAGAGGAAGAAATGGTCAGGGAAGGCATCCTTGCAAATCTAACATTCATGAGGCAAATTCTAATGGAGGGCTCAAGAAGCAGCAAAGATTCACAGGAGTTTTATTACCTAACATGGTTTAGGTTTATAGTCAAGTCAGAAAAAATCTTTACTTACTTACACATACTGGGAGAGGATCACTCCAGTCAACTCCCTTATCTTGGATGTCACAATAACTAGTGGTTGAGCCAATTAAGATATATCTGGATAAGATAAGTCAGAGATTTTAGTGGAATTCATCTTACTCTAAACATAAATTGGCAATGAGGTTTGGACAAATGGAATTTTTGTTCAACATTTAAAAATGAGAAAGTGCTCTCTTGATTGTTAATTACCATTTGGGCCAATTTGGAGTTAAACCTCATCACATCAAGGAGAAAGTCTAATTTGTTTATTTTTTCCTTTATTCATTCATTCATTTAAACCACAATATTAAGCTTTTTAGGATCAAAGACTTTAATGGAATTCTTCCTATCCTAAATTAAATTGGATAAAAGGATCTGAACAAATGTAATTGCAAGTCAATATTAAAAATGAAGCAATAATGTTTTCTCGGATACCGCTTTCCATTGAGGACTCCATTCAGTAAAATGTCATCACTGCAATGAGATGTGTGTTTGCACATCTATGCTTTTACTCTATTATCTATTATGGAGCGTCTGCTAGATCAGGCGTGGCGTTCATTCAGAGCTCAAGCAGGACAATGTAGGGGAAAGACTCGTTTGAGTGTGTGCTGCAGGTTTTTTGGATAAGCACCAGCTAGATTCTTGGCCCCCAAACCTCATGCCCTCTGGTTTTCAGCCTCCTTCTGACTTCCAGATGCTTGTCTTCTGTACACCATTAACTGCCTGTTCACGACCCTCACTTTTATTGCTCTTGACAAATCCTAAGCTTTCTTTAGTTTGTCTTACTGCACTCTATGTATTATGGTAACAGAGAAAACAAATGGCATTGTTAATATGATGTCAAATTGTACTGTCCCCGAGGAATGACCCTACCGTGTGATTGAGCACTAAGGCAAACACGCCCTTCAGCGATTTAAGAGCCCCAGAAATTTATTTAATAACTTAAAGAAAATGAATCATTTAATAAGATAAAATACAGAGAGAATTAAGCGTTTTTTTAATTTTGAAATTTCTTAAAAATTTAATTTTTTAACCTAGCCAAGAAAATAAATGAAAAGTATTGTTTTTGGTTATTCTGATAGGAACACCTTGGTGTTCCAACAGCACCTTAGTTGTGAATCTTCTCACTTTCCCTCTCAGAAACCACACACAATAAGGAAAACAAGATAAACATGAAAAAATCAAACAAAATGAAACAAGAAGAAGAAAGATTAGAGAAAAATGTCAGATATAAATGCTAAGCAAAGGAGAATCAACACCTAATTGGAGAACCTGAAGAAGGAACACAAAACAGAATAAAATAGCTATTTTAAATGTATTTTAAGTAACTGTTACAGAAATAAAATACTACTTTAATCTACACTTTAAAATTGCACATCACATAGCAGCAAAAAATTGAACCAAAATGGTCCACACCAAAACAGCTAAGAGTATGATTACTAGATTTCAAAGATAAAGAATAATATCTTTGGACAGCCAAACAAAGACCAAGTCCCATCTAGGGACAAAAACTCCTGGCTGGTGCCAGAGTTCTGCACAGCAACACCTACCAACCAAAGGTGTGCAGCACTGTCAACGAGATGATCTGGAAGAGAAAAGATGAGCCAAGGACTTTCTATCCAGCCACATTATTTTTTAAGTATCAAGGTCCTGGATATTATTTGAACCTGCAAGAACTCAAGGAATAATTTTCACTTGGAGGTTTTTTTTCTTTTAAGAAATTACCAGAGGACAAATTACAGCCAACCAAGCAATGACAGGAAAACTTTAGCAAAAACAAAAACCTAACAAACAAAAAAGTGGTGGTGGGCATTGAATGTGGTGATCTAAGACAAAAAGAAAGGTGGGGCTAAGAGTGGCTGAAGGAAATACAAATGTTAATGAAATAAAAATATAGATGTTTGGCACTGCTCTGACAGTGCTGAAATGAAATAACTAGCAAAAAATAGGAGATGAGATCGAGAGTGGACAGGAAAACAAACTCTCCCACTCCCACATTGCAAGGGTTGGGAGTGGACTCAAGCTATAGACACATGTGAGTGTTTAATGTTAAATACAAAGTAAACACTGAGATTACACAAATGACATAAATTTACTCGTAGAAAAGACAGAGGAGGTGGGAAGGAGAAGAGAGGGTACAAGATAAGTTTCCTGTTGCTCATAACAAGGAACAAATTTAAACTGACTAGCGATAACGGGGAATAATGATATTATATAAATGTAAATGTATAAAGGTAACCACTAGAACCAAATTTTGAATATTTCTAAATATAAAATATATATATAAATAGCACATATATGCACATACACGTATGTGCTTATGTATGCATTGCTTAACAATGGGGATACATACATGAGGTGATTTCATCATAGTGCAAGCATCATAGAATGCACTTACACACACCTTGATGGTGTAGCCTACTACACACCTAGGCTGCATGGTACTAATCTCATGGGATCCCTGTCATAAATGCCGTCCACCACTGGCTGAAATGTCATTATGTGGCACATGGGGTACAAAAAGAGTTCCATTAAACTAAAGTTGCCAAATTTAGCAAATTAAAATACCTAGGATAAATGACCAGGGTGCCTAGTTAAACATGAATTTCAGGTAAACAACAAACCTTTTTTTTTCCTGAGGAAGATTGGCCCTGAGCTAGCACTTGTTGCCATCCTTCCTTTTTTTATTTCTGCTTAAGGAAGATTGTCACTGGGCTAATGTCTGTGCCTAACTTCCTCTATTTTATGTGGGATGCCACCACAGCATGGCTCGACTAGCAGTGCTAGGTCTGTGCCTGGGATCCAAACCTGCAAACCCTAGTCTGCTGAAGCAGAGCACGGGAACTTAACCACTACACCACTGGGCTGGCCCCCATCTTCCCTTTTTGGCTGCCTATCCTGCTGATTTCAGGCCACAGCACCAGACAAAGAAGAAACAGCCTCCTGTACACTGTTCAACCAGCTCCCACAACTGTATCAAGTCAGATCCCCATAATAAATCCCTTATCATATATATAGTGTATATATATATACACACACACACGTATATATATATATATACTATATACATATATACATATAGATACACACATATACTATATATATATAGTTGCTCAGAGTGAATCCTGACCAATACAACTGACATAGAAAAGAAAAAGAAATTAGGAATATAAAAATTAGAAAGTAGGAGGTAAAACAACCACTATTTACAGATGATATGATTGCAAACTGGGTAATCCCAAGAGAATTCAACTGAAAGACTATTATAAATAATAAAAGAATTCAAGAAGTTAGCTGAGATATCAAATTAACAAGCGGAAATCAATTATATATATATATCAGAACATATAATGGAAGAAAAGATACATTTTAAATAGCAAAAATGAAATGCCTAGGTTTAAACACTTCAAGAAATGCAAAATCTATTTGAAGACAACTTTGAAACACTCCTGAAGAAACAAGAGAAAAAGACTAAAACGAATGGCACAGAATATGCCATGGCAAAATGTGCCACTTGGGCATAAGGATTATTTCAAGGTAAATGCACTTGAAAAACAGCAGATGCAAGAAGGGCGCTCTGACCCCTCCTTTCCTTACTGAAAGCAGTAGTTCGAACTCCCATGTGAAAGATGCCCTTCCTTAGATCTGAGGGAGAGACACTCATCACCAGAGAGGGGGAGTTGAGACCAAGGGAAATCTGGACCAACAGGCCTCGTTAAAAACAGTCCTTATCTTCCTTTGGCCTCTCCATATATTTTACTTACTACTTTTTCACAGTTACTACTCTTTGTTCAATCTAATATATAAGCACTTAGGCCTAACTGCTTTTTGGGCCTTCATTTTCCTGTTAAGGCTCCCAGGTACACGTAAAAATAAAATTTCTATGCTTTTCTCCTGTCAATTTGCCTTATGTCAACTTAATTCTCGGGCCCAACCGGAGACCCTAAGAGGGTAGAGGAAAAGTTTTGCCTCCCCTACAGTAATAGATTCTTGTCTAGGGAGACTGAAAAACAACAAAAAACCAAAACGATTCTTCTAAAATTAAGTTAAAAACTAATCCAACACTGTCTCAAAAATATGCCTAACTTTAAAGTTCATATAGAAAAATAAACAAATAAATATTGTCAGGAAAATTCCAAAAAAGAAGAACAATAATGTAGATCTGCCCACATTGGCTATTAAAACATATTATAAAGCCTCAATAAGTGGATGACCATGAATGTGTATGTGAATATATAGGTAAAACAACGGCATTACATAGAAAACCCAAAAATAGACCCCGATGTATATTTAGTAGATTGAAGATGGATTTTGAAATAAGTGATATTGGATAACAGGAAAGCCATATGGAAAAATATAGACTAGGATATGTCCTTCATTTGTTGTTTTCAGTGCCTTGAGTCCATCCTGACTCCTAGAGGCCCTGCGGACCGCAGAGCGGAACCCTGCCTGGTCTTTCTGTGCCATCCTCTCACCCTCCGGGTGCTGTATCAGACAATACTCCACTGCTATTCCACTTTTTGGGGGTGACTGGCCGGGTCCTTCTTCCTAGTCTGTCTTAGTCTGGATGCTCTGTTGAAACCTGTCCAGTATGGGTGACCCTGCTGGTGTTTGAAATACCAGTTGCATAACTTTCAGCATCACAGCGATATGCAGCTGCCACACTATGACAACTGACAGACGAGTGGAAAGGAGCCCCCTGCCCCGGCAGTGAGAGCGCAGCATCTTAACCACTACACCACCATGTACCTCATATTGCACACTATACATATTGACTCCAAATGGATCAAAGCTTTGACCATTAAACAATATGAAAACATAAAATTAGAAGAAATCTAGGCAAATACATGGTTTAAAATCTTATACTGGGGAAGACCTTTCAAATTAAGACCTAAAATGTAAAAGCCATTTTTAAAAAGGAGATTGATAAATTTGACAGCATAAAAAACAATTTCTCCTTGAGAGGAAAAAACATACCAACAGCCAAGTCAAAAGAAAAACAATATACTTGGGGAAAAATTTGTAGCTCATATTAGAAGCAAAGGCTAAACCCTAACATGCCTAGGCTCGTGTATGTGTCTTTATGTCCATATATCCTAGAAATTAAGAATAAGAAGTTCAATAAGTTAATAGAAAAAAATCATCAAAGGACATGCCAAACAGTTCACAAATGAATATCTCTTGAATATGTAAAAATATGCTCAACTTCATTCACAATAAGAGAAAAATATGTTGAAACTATTGTGAGATTTCATTTTTACCTCTTAGATTGGAAAAATTTCAAAAATTTGACAAGTTTTCAAAAGTTTGACAACATACTTAGTTGGAAATTTACAGAAAGAGACATTTGCGTACTGTGCAAATCCATGTAACCCCTAGGGAAAGCAATTTGGCAATATCTTTCAAATTTTCAAATATATGTACTCTTTGATCCAGAAATCTCACTCTGGGAACTTATAGATATAAGTACACATGGACAAAATGATAATGTTCAAGGTAATACATCAGAGCACTGTTCAGAATAGCAAAAGATGGGAAATATCCATGGATCCAGCAAAGAGATTATTAATCCATGGTACATCACACAATAATAGGCTACCCAGTTATACAAGGAAATTAATGAGGAAACTCTATGCACAAATATGTAAACATCTTCGGTATATATTGATAAGTAAAAATTAAAGCAAGATTCAAAACTACATTTGCTATTGGAAAGGTGCAAAATAAAAACATATACTAATTTCTTAGCTTGTATTTGTAAAAGTAAACACTAGAAGGATACATAAGACACCAATAAAAGTGGATCTCTGTTTAAGGACAGGAAGGAATGGGGTGGATGGCGATAGAGGGGAGGTGAGAATTGTCAGTGTATACTTTTCACCTCATTTTTACTTTAGAAATATATGAACACATTAGCTATTTTTTAAAATTAATTTTCAGGAAGTGTTGTTTCTAGATTGCCTCACACTCACCCGTCTGAACAGCTGAATTCTATTCGTGATCCAAAAGAGAGATCTGTCTTACTTATTTGCCCATTATGTAATTCTCCTGGGTTTCTGCATCGTTTCTCTGAGAGAAAAATTAAAATGATGATTAGTGATTCCGAGGACTCAGAGCTATGGCATCAGAAAAGAAGACTGATGGATTGGCTTCGCCCTCTGCTCCCAGAAAGACCCAGAGGCTCAGATCCGAACTTATCTCTGATATTGACTCGCTGAACTTTTATTTTGGAGGAAAAATGAACACAAAATTTGACCTCATTTTTTTCTAGTACCTTTTACCATTAGAGAGAAATGCTCAGTTAAATCACTGTGGTAATGGAATCTTTAGTCCAGGACTTAATACGTTGACCAGGAAGCCACACTCCGTTCTATGTCTGTGGCATGTACTTTGAACTTAGACCACTCAAAAATGCATGTTCTTGGTCACAAGAGGAACAAAAAAAGATTATATATTGATACCTTACAACTGGAAAAACATCATAGAATGTATTCCCAACTGAGAGTGAAACACAGCATCTTCTTCCAACACGGCGGGTATTTGGGGTGACGTTTCTTCGGAAACTGCATTACCACTTCCTAGCCACATAACTTTATAATTTTGTAGAGAGTGAATCTGGTTTTCAATGTATTAAAACTGAATTTGTAGTTCATTTCTGAAGGAAATGTTTGCTGAATTATGCAAAGGATAGACTTATTTTTCAATACAATTAGGTAGCTCCTAATTTTTCTCTTTATTTATTTGTGTGTTTGTTTCTGTTTTTCAAAAAGTGGCACACAGGCGTACATTGAAATCAGTAACGGACAAACTAGATGATTTCTTAATGACCAAAAACTCTCATTTGCATTCAGAAAGCTCAGTTTCTGAGACAATGTGGCAAAGAAAGAAAAATCTCAAATAAGAAAAATAAATGCTCCTACTTACTGGTACAGAAGGGAGTATATTTCCAAACACCTCCGTGTTGACAGGTAAGGGAATTTTTTGAACTGGTCTTACTGTAGCCAGGGCGGCAGTTGTATTTCAGAATAGTTCCAGCTTCGAAGTCTGTCTCATTCAACTCATTTATTGGAGAAGCAAACAATAGATTCGGTGGGGGACCACAATCACCTGGACACCGAAATGACAAAGAGCACCAAAAGTTATAGGTTGGCACTCAGCATCTTAATGTTTCAGTAGCATGATTTTTAGAGCAGGAACTGTTCTTTTCTCCTCTAATCAAGAAAAATAATAACTCCTATTAACCTCATTGTTCAAAGAATCCAGTGAGTGATCAGTAATCCATGTTTGTTGATAAATGGTAATGACAACGATAATGATCAAAGGCGGAAGTTGTTCTCCTCTTCTGTTATATGAGATTACCTATCTTAAAAGGATAGAAGACATGATTTCATTGGCCTATTAGATTCTCCATATCTGCTGAGTCAGATGCATCCAGGCAAAGCCAGAAGTCCCTACAGTTTTCTTCAACAGAAACATATTATTTCATTGATAATAATATTATGTATTTGTTGCCTCATGAAAGGGAAACTGAGTGGCTGGGAGATGGACAAGAATAACATTTTTAATTTGTACTTTTTTGCACCTTTTGGATTTTGAATGATATGAGGGGAGAAGCGTGGAGCTCTTGAAATGCAAAAATCTTAATCCTACTTTCCTTGTAAGAACTAAATACAGGACCAATTTACCTTTTAGGAGCCCCAGTAGAAGTATGCACTTCCCCTCTCCATTCTGGGTAAGCCCACAGGCAGTAAAAATTGTTCAGTCAGACTGACAGATAACATGGATTTGTTCAAGTCGTGGTTGGGAGACAGATTGTTTTGGAAATTCCTGGAGAAGGAACTCTAGAGGGAAGTGTCTAAGAAACTGCCTCTTTTATGGGTAAAGCAAATCCCCCTAAATTCCAAATCCCCTTAAATTCCAAATTAATAAATCCCAAGTTCAAATAAACTCTTTGTCACGGAAGCTGGATTTCTGTTGAAAGCTTAATCATCTCCCTGTTAGTCTTAAAAGTGAATGAGTGAATGATCTTTGATGTTTCTTGCCCATCTGACTTTATCTCCCCATTACTCACCAAGAACAGTAGCCAACAGAGCAATGACCAAGGTCACTTGGAACAGAGTTGGATCAGAGAGTCTCCACAGCCTAGAGAAGGGCCAGGCTGCCGTTTTCCACTTTCTATGAAGGGTCCCGTTTGGAGCTCTTGGGGGATGCATAGCCTGATGCTTCTCCCACATTCTTCTGCTGAAAGAACTCAATTTAATAAAGTCATTGAATTCCTACTTGTCACAAAGCACTAGGATAAATGCTATGGGATCCATGTCTTCAGGGACATTACAGCCTAGAGGGGAAGAAAAGATGTGAGCACAGATGTTACAACACAAGACAGTGAGTTTTAGCCTCTGTGGAAGCACTCTGTTCAGGGAGAGGTTAATTCCAAGTGGAGAGAAGGGAGGTGGCTGTAGCTGAGTTATGCAAGCTGTAAAAGTTAGAGAATGGATGCAGGGCAAATTGGAGGAACAGTAGATAGTACTTCAACTTGGCTGGAAAGTAAGGTATCTGAGATGGAGAGATAGTTGTTAAGGAGGGGGCAGTTTATGTGTCTAAATGGGATGTCAGGGTAAAGTTTAGGAATTTACAGATGCTACTCTTTGGGGAGTAAAGAGCCATTATTTTTTTGTTTTGGATTTTATTTTTCAGTTTTTGTTTTTAAGCTAAGGAGTGACACATTATTGTGCTTTAGGAAGAACGCCTTGGCAGATGTGTACATGAAAGAATGAAGCGAACAGAGAGAAGAAACAGGGAGGCTGATTAAGAAGACTATTGCAGTTGGCCAGGTGAGCCGCAGAGATGACAGGCCAAGGAAATGGCAGAGGAGTTAGAGAAGAGGGAAGAAACGTAAAACAAAACAAACCAAAAGGCAGGAAAGTGATGAGTTAGAGGAAAGGAGTTGGGTCCCTATAAATAGTTTTGGGAGTCCCTCATGGCAACTGTCAACCAAAGCAATCAACCATCTAATTGTATAATTTGCAGTTTTGAAAAAATGGTTTTGTATATAGAGATATATAAGCATCTATATATGTTGATACATACAAATATATAAAGAAAGAGAGAAATACACATGACAAATGTGCCTTCATTATTTAATCAGACTATTTAAAGATTTACTTAAAGCAAAATCATGAGGGACATTTTTCTCTTCACCACCATTCCCGTTCCATTTGGAAAAAGCAATATATCTTAAATTCACGTTAGAAATAGACCTTGTCCTCAAAGGAGTACATGAAGTTAACCCCCAATGAAACATTGAATTGATCTTTCATTCTGATATCTCTGTTAGCTCCAGATGATTCTACACTCCCCACATGTCCATAATTTATACTAAGCACATATCCATTTAGATAAAGGGAGTCTCCTCAATATTTTCGTCAAAGATGTTTCTGTCCCACGTTATAGGGGGAAAAAATTTATAGTTGTCTTTCGTGCTGTGTGAAGGGACGTAAATTCTCCATTGAGAAATAACTGATGTAATCTTCTCTCTCCAAAATTCAGCTCTGATGAAGCCATTCCTCCACCTGCTGTCAGTTGTGAGCAACTCCATCCCATGCACATCCTATCATGTCTGCTAGGACAATTCTACCAAAAAATAAATTCAAGCTAATGAACAACTTATCAAATGTGTTCACTTCCTAAGAATGTGTTTAGAGAATTTGTACTAAATGAATTGAAGTGGTCTAAAGAGGTTAGGAGGAGCCAGGACCAGTGTTTTGGGCCTTTACACATCCCCTTTCATTTTTGTTTCCCTCTCTCTCTTTCCCTAGGACCTCCCTTTCAGTCTCTAGTCTCTCCTTCTACTCTAACAATCTGATGAGACTGGAGACAGCTGGGGGTAAGGCAAGTTCCACATGAAGAAAACCAGTCCAAGAAATCATCACTGAAATGTACCAAATATGATCAATTTCTCCCACCTAATAAAAACTGTTATGAATATAAAAACTATAGGAATGAGTTTAATTTTTGTCAAGACTGTAGATTGGTATATTTATTGAATTTCAGTGAAATTGAAGAAAGAGAGTTTAAAATACCAATATTTTGGCAAAATAGAATTTGACTATAAAAAATCAAGAGGATAGTAGTGTAAAGTGCACATTTCCCATGTGAATTGTCTCAGTTGTTACAATAGTCACAAGAAGAATACATACATTGAATATACGCAGGAAAATATTCATGAATATATTTATAAAAATACAGCCATAAGATTAAGTCCTTAGTTTTAAGAAATTAAACAAAAATACTTTAAATGCTGAAACAGAGAACATATTCATGAGCTATGTTCAAAAAGAATATATTCATAACCTTTGAATATATTCAAAATGAATATTTCTTAAAGCAATGTTCGGTCAATTGACAATTTGATAAATTCAGCAAATTGATTGCAGTGAACTGATCCTTCAGGAATCGGCTGCTGGTGACGAGGTTTTCAGCATTAGGTCTGAGCCCTGTGCTCCAGCTGGACCTGCATCCCTGACAGCTCCAAACCCTTTCCAGCTCCCACCCCTGCCCATATCATCTGCCCTCTTGCCCTTCCCTCTTCAATCCTGCTCATTCTGCCAGTCCCTTCTCCAACGCCCTCTCCCATCCTCCAGGTCAATCTCCATATCCCCGTTACAGTGTAGTGTTACAACTCTGATTCTGGTTTGGCTTACGACTGATATCTGAAGTCTTCAAAAGAAATGTTAGGGAAGAGAGTGACAGAATTGGTGTTGGAATGTGACTCTGACAGGACTAGAACTCCTAGAGTCAAAACATCATCATAGTAATTATGTAAAATGACAATGACTGCATCGCCAAGGGACTTTAGTGAAGCCCGGGTGCAGAGGAAAGCCCACTGGACTTGGGCCAGGAGCCCTTGGTCGGGTGTTCACTGTGGCCCCTGGTAATAGTGAGACCCAGCTCACACTCAGAGCAGACTCTGGTGCCCAAGGGGTGCTGTCCTGGGGCTTTGTCCTCCCTCAACCTTCAGTGTCTTCCTGAGAGGAGCTCATCTCCGCCCTTGACTTTGGCCATCATCCATGACTCACTCACAGACATCTGGGCCCAGTTATCCCCTGCAGGAGCGAAACTTCCGTGTTCCATAAACTCAACCGTTAATAAAAATCTTATTCTGCCCTATTCCCTCCCACATGTAAATTTTGAGTCAGTCAGGCCTGTCTCCTTTACTCTTGTTGCTAACTGGTGGAATTCCAGTGCTCACCTTAAAACTGTGGGCCTGTCTAAAAGTTGGTGAAAGAAATCTCAGCAAAATCAGGAGGAACTCCTCTCTCCTCTCCTGCAGCTGCAGCAGAGCAGACGTCTTCATCACGAGACTGATCGCACAGATGTTATTTCTAACGAAGGAGTCGTTCCTGCACTTTAGAGATTGTTGCTTTGTCGCTTGAATGTAACCTTTAACCCTGGAAAAGTCTATATTTCTGACTGGTTATCTTAGCAAATTGTTTTTCGTTTGGGATAACATTTAAACTAACATTTCTGTTTTTGAAAGTTCTAGACACTTGCGAGTTTTCTTTGCAAATCCGGAAATAAATTATTACACTTTCTCCTTTGCTTGCAATCCTGAAAGTAAACTGAAACTTTGGCTCTGTTAGATTTCTTTTTTTAAAAATTTTCAGCCTTATTGGGGTATGACTAAATTGTAAGATATTTAAAGTGTCCATCATGGTGATTGGACCCAAGAACACAGTGTGGAAAGACTTCCCCTCACTATCTAGTTAATTAACATAGCCATCACATCGCATATTTATCCTTTTTTGGGCAGGATTATTTAAGTTCTACTCTCTTAGCAAATTTCAATTATTCAATATGGTGTTAACTATAGTCACCACGTCTTACGTTAGATCCGCAAACCTGGTTCACCTTATAGCTGAAAGTTCGTACCCTTTTGCCAACCTTTCCTGACTTCTCTCACCACCGCCCCAGCTCCCACCCCTGCCCCTGGAAACCACTTGTTAGAGTTCTTATGTAAGCAAAAAACCCTTTTTAAAAAAATTGAAGTCATAATTCCTGTTATAACTTAATCCCAGATCAGTCTTTCCTACTGCTTCATTTCTATCTCTCAGGCACTTTGAATCCAACACACCCCAAACTGAACGTACTATCCGCCTTCCAATACTGCTTGGCCTCTGTTTCGTCTCAGCTAAGCTAATAATCCCCATCCAGCCTCCTAGAATAGAAACCCGAGTCATCCTAACCTATTCTCTTGCCCCCTTTCCATATTCAGTCAACAGGTCCCGTCACATTGGCCATCGCAGTGCTAGAATCTGTCACTCTCCTACACCCCACTTCCGTAGTCCAGATTTAGGTTCTCATAATTCCCTTCACCCCACCCTAGACCACTGCAAAAGCCTCCAAACATTTTGCAAGGCCTCTTCCACACTGATGCTGTTATATTCCTAAAAAGGAATTTACTTAAAAACAACCATGGTACCCAAACCTCTCTCAACTCTCCCACTGCTTCTGCTTACTTAAAACACTGTGCTTCAACCTTAGGAAGGTGCTTACCTTTCCCAAAATGCATCCTGGAACTTTTTTAAACACCTGCAAGCATTTGCATGTAATGTCTCTTGTGTATGAGTGCTCTTACTTCCAACCTCCCCTTGACGCACTATCCAGATCAAATGTCACCTCTTTGGTGAAGGATTGCTCAACCCCACCACGAAACATCAGTCTCTTCTATGCTCTCCTAGACTTTGATGATACCTTAATTGTAACAGCATCTGTAACTATCTGTTCACTTTTGCCTCCTGAAATACATCATAGGTCCCCTGAAGACAGAGAAGTTATTTATTCAAATTTCTAATTCTAACTTTGTATTGTAACTGGCATATACTAGTTATCCAATAATGTGGAATAAATGAAATTCAATTCAGTTTATCTTCAGAGTAAGAATGACTACCTGCCTTACTGAGGACCAAATGAAATAAAGTGTGTGAAGTGCCTTGTCAACTTCGAAGAGGTGATACAGTGATTCGACTCCCCTTACTGGTTCTCAGGATGTGTGGTGGTTCAGTGGGCCAGGTGTAGCATTTGCAGCTCACCACCGCTACTCCTGTGGTCCCTCAGCAGAACCTTCACAGGGCTCGGCAGACCACACAGCCTAGAGATGGAGGCTAGGACTTGTGATTTGAGGAGACCTGAGTTTGAGTCCCAGCAATACTGCAATCCAATTCTGTGATCCTGAAGAAGCTACATCAGCTCCTTGGATCTCAGTTTGTCATCTCTAAAACAATGACATTAAACTTAGATCATCTTTCTATTTCCTACAAAGTCTGGAATTCAGTAACTGCCACTGAAAAGCTGAGACTTCCCTAGCAAAGCCCTCCTATTTCAATAACCTCACCACCTTCTCAATTCCTATAGAAATAAAATCAGGTCAAGAACTATAGTCAACATGGAGGGTCTCTTGTGAAAAGTCCTTGGCATCGGCTATGCAGTACACTTTGAGAGGTGCTGGGAAAATCCTCAGCCCCCAAATTTCTCCTTCGATTAGAGATTACTTTTAAGTTACTGTATTTATTTGTCTAAACTCCTCCTTCGAAAATTCAGATACCTCTGGAAAGGATATTTCTCTTCAGCCTCAGGTGGCTTGTCTCCTTGCTTACACCTGCACTCTCAACCACATTGCTTTCAGACTCCGGGAAGAACTCGCTTCCACACTTTCCCCTCCCTTCCTAGAATGCCTTTCTCTCTCCATCAGCTCCTTCCTTCTGTGCTCATATTATATTGAAATGCATCTCTACACTTAACGCAAACCTTCGTTGATGCTTCCTCCTCTTCTGGACACTCTCCTTTTCATTCTCCTTGTGCTGCTATATTTAGGGACAGACCAGGGGTTAGCAAAGTGAAGAGAAGTTGAAGAATTGAAGTGAGGACCAGAATTGTACTACGTCCTGCTCAACCAAGGGAGAAGGGAGTTTCAAGAAGGAAGAGTAATCAGCGTAGCCAGATTCAGAGAGTGAGGGAGAGCAAGGAGGTGAAGACAGCAAAGGCTGCCAGCTTCAGAAACTAACTAGAGGCTGATCAACACCCTTCTTATCATCAAATCTAAAGGTCTTTGCTGCCCATGGCGGAGGAGATGTGGAGGGGTTAATCAAATCTCCAAAGGAAACTGCACCAATTTTCAGAAGGTAGACTATGAACAGTAGGTCCCTGTGAGCCCCTTGGGAAGGCTGGCTTCCCTCCTGCCGCAGCTCCCCTGCGTGGAGAGGTGGTAAAGGACCAATGGACCAATACACTCACCTTTTAGATAGAATAATGAGAGCAATGTCTTACTTCTTTCCTGCTTCAGTTTATTTTATTAGTATGCATTATTATTTCCCCATTTATAACAAAAAATTGAGGCCCAGAAGGGGTTAAAAGTACTTTTCAAGTCACACTACCTCTCACTGCAGAACTTCTGCAAAGATGTCTGCTGAAAACATCCCCAAGTTTTTGTCTCTGTCTTATCCTTCTAATCTTGCACTCCTCAAAGGGCCAAATCGCCAGCCTTTTCCCCAGCGTACCCCAAGTAGTCCACTGACCTGCAGGCAGCTGAGGAAGAAGTAGCAGACTCTATCAAGCTGCCTTGGGTAGTTTCCCAAGGAAGAAAACAGCCTTGATTTCTGATGGTCCTAGTTCCTCCCCAGATCAGAGCTTACCGGAATACCCTGAAGATTACTAGTAATTGCTCCACCAAAAAGTCCTACCTTCCGCCCCTGTGGTTGGCTGGACGGAAATGGATGGGCAGAGACTCTACTGGTGCAATGAATAATTAACAGAAGAAATAAAGCACCAGTGTTTACTTAATCTCCTTTCTCTTCACTAGCCCTCAATCTTTATAACATGTCGCAATAGTTGATTTTCTCCTCTGCCAACCATTTCCCCTAAGTGAAAAGGTAATATGAATTTGATGCCAGAATTCTTTTTTCTTTTCGTAAACACAAGAGGGTTATACAAGATGCAATCCAGATAGCCCGGAAACCTTGGATACTGTAGGGTTCAAACTAGGTCCACAAAAATGATCCACTTTCCATGATGTTAGGTAAAGCAGGCTTTCCTGGGGCTGAGGGACTGATGACCTCACCCTGTGCTGGTCTCCATCCCACCCTAAGCAAGTATAAAAGGCGAGGAGTTTAACACATTTGCTGAGTTGCCTGGAATATATAATGTTAACTACCACCACCACCCCTACTACTGACGGCTGGGCACGAAATGACCTCCAGAAGTTGGTCTATCATTGAGTGCTACTCAGGAGAACGCAATGATGGACTGGCCATGTTTGTCATCACATAGATCTAGGAAGGATCTGAAACCCTGACATTACCCAATTAAGCTATTAATCCTCAGGATTAAGGTTTATGTGCTCAGGAGATTGCTATTAAAGAGCAATTCTTCCTGACAACTGCACTTTTTCTGTAATAAAGACCAAAAGTCCCATAAAGTTTTCAGAAAAGAAGGAGCTGAACCACAGTTGAAGTTTTGACAGATGAGAGTTGAAGAGTGGAAATTATTAGATGAAAATGAGAAAGATAGTAGAGATAAAGAGAGGTGGGCCAAGTCACAAAGATGAGATTGATCGGTTAATGTGACAAGAATGGGCATAGAGGAGGATTCCAGACTGTGCAGAGTCTTGAGAGCTAGGTTGGAGGAAATACCGTACAAGACCTAAACTGGAGGAAATAGCAAAACCACGACCAAAATTGGGTCTTCAGAATACCATTTCCCAATCTACTGGAGCCCTGTTCTTTACTTTCCACAGTGACTGTTCCAAATTTTTCTCTCCAGGTCACCACATTGTCTTACTCACTCTCAGCAGACGATCTTGCCTCCTATTTTGCTAAAAAATCATTCTACATTATCTTCTATCCACCTCAAATTTTCTCTCCTTATTCACTTCTGTTTCAGAAGAGATTTGCTCTTTTCCTTCCTTATTTTCCATGTGTCTTTCATTCTGAAATGTTCCTTCAACCTTGCTAAAATCTCAAAATCCATTTTTCTTCTGTAACAAGATGCTGAATTTCTCAAAAGACTCCTTCTCATTAGTCGCTCCTTGCCCCTCCTGTTGTTGTCCCCAGTCTGGCTCCTTCCTGCCTTATTGACCTCCTCTTTGAGGCACGCCCTTATTTCCAAATTCAAAATTTCTTTAACTCATCTCTTACGATTTCTCCGCAGCTGCTAAAACTGCTGATCATTTCCTTTCTGAAACTATCCCCTTCTCTGACTTCCACTACCCTAAACCTCCCCGATTCCCCTCTCTTACTAATGCTCTTTCTTAGTTCTTGTCACCACCTCTTCCTCCTGTTCATCCTTAAGTATAGATGCATCTCAGGTTCTTCTTTGTTAAAATTTTTCTCTTCACATCTTTAATTCTCTTGCCTGCCCTCATGGCTTTAATTATCCCCTATGAGAGAACTGCCTCATAACGACATCTTTATCTCTGATTGCCTTCCTCATCTCAGACTTACGTTTTGGGTTACAAGCGCCTTACATGCAGCACATCCCAAGGAGAACTACTCCTTTCCTGCCCAGGCCACCTTCTGACCCCGATGTTAATCTAGGCCCCCAGGAATGGAATTTTGGACCTATCTTTAAACACTTCCCCTCCCTCAGCCTCCAGTGTTCGACCAGTTGACAAGTTGTTTTTATTTGATTTTGCAATGTCTCTCCTGTCTGCTGTTTCTTTTCTATTTCTGCTGCCACCAAACCAGTTCAGGCCATCCTGGGTCCTGTCTCTTCCTGCTTCCACCTGTACTGCATATTGGGGTGAGAGAAATTTTCCATGTTCTGTTCTTATCACTTCCTTGCTTGAAATTCTCCCATCTCTACTCGCTGCCTACCAAATAAAGTTTAAGCTCTCTAACACGCCCTTTAAAACCCACTACAAGCTGGCTTTAATGTATCTTTGCAGCCTTCCTTCTCATCATTCCCGTGCTTTATCCAGGCCAATCCAGGCCATGTGCTATGCCCTAGATATGCCCAATCTTCCCTGCTTCTGTGCAACGCCTCTAAAAAAAACGATTAAAAGCAATTTAAAACATTAAAGAATTTTAAGAGAATAAAGACCTGTAACTTCATCACTCTAAGATAACCGTTTTCTTCTCTGCCTAATATTACCCAGTCCTTTTCTACAAGAATAAAGGTTATAAAGAAATCGTAAGTACTTGTTATTCCCTATTCTATTTTTACTTAAGCTTATATTTTAAGACGTTTCTGTTCATAATTACCACTGTAAAAGGCTGCTTTGCATATGCTGTACCATAATTTATTAAAAATTTTCCTAAGATTGGATATTTCACAAGGTCTTGCTAGTATGTAATGAACAGCTTCAAATCAAAAATCATTTTGCTCCTATTAGATTAATCGTAGGAGTGGATTTACATGGTTTAAAAGCTTGTGACTCTCTTACTACATTTCTCAAATCTTTCCACTTGGAATGTCCTCCTCCCTAATCTTTGTCTCTAAATCCTGCTCACTTTTAAAGGCGCAAATAGCTGGGACTCCTTCCTTGACAGTTTCCCTGCCTCCTCCTCCTCCCAGATGGAAGTCATCCTCTTCACATCTGAGCTCCCAAATAGCATGACGTTCAGTGAAAGGTGTTTATTTCATTCTAACCACCTTGAATTAATGATGTCTACATACATATCTGCATCTACTGAGAGACTGGGCTATTTGAGAGTCCATTTCTTATTCTCCTTCATAACTCCACCTAGAGATTTTTCCATCATTTCAAGCTCTTCTATGTATTTTGTTTGTTTTTTACCCAGATTTCCTATGTGCTTTCAGTAGAGGTCACAGTGAGAGATGGGAGCAGCTTGTCATATTGGCTCACTATGACATCTTGACAGGAAAACCTTAGGATTCTTGCTTCTTCTGCCCTCTAAAAAGGAGAAGGAAATAGATTCGCTTAAGTTGCACCATCTCACATTTACCACGCAGGGCTGGGTTTCACTCAAAAGACAGTAAGCAACATTACTGCAGGATATTTGGAAACCTGGCTTCATAAACAGGATGTAGGGGACATCCAGGAAAGAGTTTGGGTGCTAATTCTACTTTTGTCTCAATAGGTCATTTTAAGAATGTAACTGCTACGAGTCTATTTTCACAAAACCAGAGGTTAATTTTTGCCTCATAAGTTTTGGTTAATTTGAGGTTAATTTTTGCCTCATCATGCATGTCTCATATTAAAATACCAGGCACACCCTTAGCTGTAACTCGAGCTTCCTATTCTCCTTATAGACAAGAAATTAAACCCTTCACTCCCCATTAATGTGCTGCTAATTCTGGTCTTAAACACAAACAACCACCACACTGGGCATTTCCACATTCTGAGCGCAACACACGTGCAGAGACACACACACAGTGCAAAGACACACACACAGTGCATTATACAACTGCAGTTGGTTACTAAGAAGTTGCATTTCAGTCCAATGAGAGACAAATCTGAAACCAATTTCAGAACCAAGAGAAAAATTTATTCAAAGGTGTATTTCAATTACCCAGTTGGTTTAGCTACAATGTCAGGGCAACATTTTTGCCTTCAACTCAGCTTTCTTCATTTCCAGAGAATATTTTAGATCCTCCATTGTTAAGCCGTTTTCCTGTAATCTTTGCATATAGCTCTTTATGGCTTTACAAAGTTCCTCACTCTCCTGAAAGTCAAGCGGCAGAAAGAAGAAATTTTTTAAGTTACAACTTAAGAACTGAGACCTAGCTATCCACTTTGAGGGCGGGAGGTAGTGCTTCGGTCCCTGACCGGGGCTCAGAGCCGGGCTGGCTTAAGCAGAGACCTGGGTCTTCAACATGATAAGTCACTTAAATTTTCTGGCTTAAATGTAGTTATTATTATCCCAGTAATTAATATAAACTAAAGGAGCAGTCTCAACAAAAATTGATCTGTTCAGTGCCTTTTGAAGTCCAGAAGAATTTTAGAGACGTTTCACAGGAATATTTTTAAGTCTAAGACATGAGTTTATGCACCTTGTGGTACAAAGTTCACGAGACAACAACGCCCGCCAACAGGGCCTCATGAGGTAATTGTGCTGATGGTGGAGAATGGGAATTTCCAAATATAAAAGTAGGAGTTAACAGTTTACGAGCCACATTCTGCAATCAGGCCAAGGCGCTCAAAGACATCCCAAACTGAACAGATGTTTACGGAGTGTGCCAGGAGCGACCCGGGCCCTGGAGATACGGCTGTGAACACCACCAACAGCCTTCTACTTACAAGTGCCTTCTCGCACTCGGTCTGTGGAGCTGGTTTGGAAGCTTCTTGGATCAACTCACAGACTGGAAGTGGGCTGCTCCACTCCCCGTCAACGCACTGTTGGTCCCGTGTGCCCACTAAGTGGTACCTGAACAGAAATTAGAATCGCAGGAACACTTTGCCTTTCCCACTCCTGAACTGGGCAACCAAGGCTGGTTTTGTGTAGTGTGTTTCAGTATCTCATACTGTGACAGGATCCTCCCTGCCCCGGAACCTGAAGGCATGCCTAAGTTGTCTCAGGATTGCAAAACAGTAATAAAGCAAAACTGCTCTCCTTCAGGGTGGAGAGGACCCAAATGATGAGTCAGCCCGTAAAACATGGAGAAGTGAGAAATTCTAAATATGTGTGTTTATGCGAACAGTTTTTGGGTGGGGAGGGTGAGGGAAGAAGAACTTCATCATTCAATAACTTAAAAACAGC